TGCTGCTGCTTCTTTGCTGCTACTGCTTTGCTGCTGCTGCTGCTGCTTTTCTCTTCCTCTTCCTCTTCCTTTTTCTCTTTCTCTTTCTCTTCCTCTTCCTCTTGCTCTTGCTCTTTCTCTTTCTCTTTCTCTTCTCTCTCTCTTTTTCTCTGTCTCTGTCTCTCTCTCTCTCTCCTTTTTTTTATTTCTTTTTTTTTTTCTCTCTCTCTCTCTCTATCTCTCCCTCCTCTCTCTCCTCTCTCTCTCTCTCTTGTTTATTCGATCCACCTCTTTTAACGGCGAACTTGTTGACCTACCTTGCGTCCACCCTCTCCCCCTCAAGTCCTTTTTATGCCAGAACACGCAACATCACCACCCGACATACCACGCTGCTTGTACACACATTTGAAGGAAAGGCTTGAGGAGCTGTGACAGTAGCCGTTAAACCCGTTCCGAAACATTTGCATTCTGAATTCTGTACTTAGCTTTGGCCAACAAAACTTGTCCTTGTGTGACAACTTGTCCAACTGCATGTCTTCTAAGCTTGTGCAAGTGATTCGTTGGGGGCGTGCGGTACTGGCGGGAGGCTTTGCAGCAAGTAGAGCAGCACATCATTGAGCTGGGGACTGACTTGGCTCAATGTTCTGTGGCCAGCAGCCTTAGCTTATCAGGGTTTGCGTGAGATACAGGTCAGATCAGTTTGATCTTTTTTGTAGCCGCTCAAAGGTGCAACGTTGAATGTAGTGCACTACACACATTCGAAGACTTGAATTTGCTCCGTGGACACTACCTTAGGCTGCTTGTGAATGAGCAGTGTTCTTGAGGCCTTCTCGGGACTACGGCTACACGGGCATATGCCTGGGACTGTACACATCTCCCGAGGTTTAGAGGAGACTGGTTATGAAAATGCAACGCAAAGCTCTCTAAAAGCTCGGACCGGTCTTAAGAAGCTTCGCCTGAAGATGCACGTTGCGGCTCATTTGAAGATGCACGTCTGAAGGACGAGCCGAACCCTTTGCTGGCAGACCCAGAAGTGGCAAACTACTACCTGAGTCTCTTCATGCGGAAGAAGCTGGTGCTTCCCCGCCTTTGGACAATGATAATGACACACAATATCTTCTTACGCATTGCAGTACTGCAGCACTGCACGCACGCTGCAGCTTCCATGGAACGGAATGTTTTGTGCAATGTGGCTCATGCGATCTCATGTGTGTGTGTAGACTTGCGATGATCTCTACGTACTGCCGGCAAACGACTATATACGTCAAATCTTCAGACGACTATACTGGTATATATAGAATCATTTGTGTCAAGAATACACCCACCTGTTCAAGCGACCATTGGGATCTCATCAGAGAACTTGGGGCAAGCAACTGTACAAATCAAGAATTGACACCCCATTGCTGACTCCCTGCCGCGATGCCGTGTGCGGACTACTGGGACATAGACGCCACTTGCCTCTCAAGCAGATTCAACAGAGGTTATATTGTTAGCCAACAGAATTGACGGTTCACCTTCCTGACTGTAGTTTCCTTTTTGTTTGCCATGGCCAGGAGATACTTGCAGAAGAGCAAGATGTGGTCATAAAGACTTTTCACGATGTAGCAGGTGGTGGCTTCTTGCAATCTGGCAGCACAATATTGTTGGTGTGTCTACAGGCGGAAAGGTCTAGAAAGATCTAAAAGTAGACAATTCATGGGTCAGACGACGAGTGTCGGGAGGACTTTGGAAGGACATTGGTACCAGATGACCATTATTGCCACCTCAACAATTTGCTAGGCTAGTAGATGCTAGCATACCTGCAAACCGATATTAAAGATCGCACTTTTGATCAGAACATACGCACTAAGACACGAACTACAAAATAACTTTATAGCGAGAAACAGTTTTGACACAGGTGTGCAAAGCGAGAAAATCTGAAGTTGCAAGCAAGTCAAGTGAGTCAAGTGGAGTGCCAACAACGAGAACCCGGCCTAGCGGTGGCCTATGGATGTGACAGAACTTCGGTTCAGATAGCCTGTTTGGTTCCTGCCAAGGTATCCCTGCACTGGTGCAGCGAAACCGCGAGACCTGAAGGAAGGCGCCAAGGCCAGGATAACAGCATGCCCAACACTTGTTTTTATTCCCTAAAAAATTAGGGACACAATGAATAAAAGAGTGAGCTATCCTGCGTCCTGTAGGTAGTAGCTTTCTATAGCTCCCTTACTTCTTTATATAAGTAGGCGCCTTCTCAATTAAGGAGGGAGGCAGGGGAAGTCGTGGGCCAAAACAAAAAAAACACAAATGGACGGGATTTTTGGGGATTCGTCTGTACAGGTGGTGGTGCCCTATTGGTTGGCACAGAAGTTAGTTCGTCGCAACGCTGTCGAGCTGGACCTGCCGGTGACCTGGTGAAATTTAGCGCTCGATGACTGATGCAGCCTGGGTGTTTTGACAGGGAAACAAATTGGCAAACTGTGTACTCTTGGTGGTACACTTGCAGACGGATGCTTGTGGACCGATTCAGATCGATTCGGAAAGAGACTTTGCAGGTCATCTTTGATGAAGCGACCCAAGAGACTTTGCAGACGGATCCAGCTGTTTGCCGCCTAGGTTCGACATATTTTTAAGGGGTGCAGTAACTTCATTCATGCAGCTTTGCTTTTTGACATGTTTCCTTCATACATACACATGTCCTGATGGATCACTAATATCTTGCAGGTGAAAAAAGCCGCTACTACTTTGAAGTTGGCCTCAAACTGGCATATTTGACAAAGAACTTTAAGCTTCAAGAGATTCTGGTGAATGCCTACATGTGACCTGATTGCAGGTATGATTTGTGCTTTCACTTGCTTTCCTCAATTTGTCTCTGCAAGTTGAAGGAAATTTTCCCAATCGGATCACGTGACAGGGGAGTGAGCAAACCCCAAAGAGAATGTCCAGCTTACACAGCGAGTTCCGTATCTCACAAGCAGCAGACTCACCTTCATCAGTATTATTTCAAGATTACCTGCAAAAGCTTTTCAATGCAGCGGCTGCATGTGTGAAATAGCTTGAACGTTATTGAGCGATGCCTTGTTTTCTTCGATATTGACCTCAAAATTCGAAGGTCGGCAGACCAAATGTTTGAATATTATTGTCAGCCTTTGCTTCCGGCCGTTTTGCGCCACTCAGACAGCGCTATCATGACTTGATGACTCTGAGCTCCGGCATGGGCGAGGCCAACCGGTCCTCGATTCGCAAAGCAGTGCCCAGCCCTTCGAACGCAAAAAGTCAAGAGCCTAGAGTCTAGAAGTGATAAACAGAAAGGTCTTCATAGGTTTAGCTGCGTGGTTTAAAGGCTGAGATTGAGCCGCAAAAGGCCCACCATCCCGGTCTTGTCCTTTGAGGCCAATTCCTGAGCAGCCTCACTGCTCTTGAAGAGGATATGCATCGTGGTGCCCGTGAAGCAGAAGATCAATACCAGCGCAATCCTTAGTTGTGTATGTCTCAGAGCGCAAACTACAAAGACCAGAAAGGCTAAAGAACAACGTTGTGCTCTAGTCAACTTTATAACCAGCATGGAGAGTTTCTTATGAGTTGTCCTGTACACAGATGATTCAGTCAGTTAGGCCGTTGTTTGTTGAGTGTTTCTGACGGTTGACAAAGTGGTGTCAGGCGGTGGACTGGCAGCTTCAGTTGTTGGCAATTGGAGCCTTCCCATATTGCTGAAGTTCCAGCCTTCAAGCGAGCACGTGCGGGCGCTTGAGAAGGAACATCACCAAATTGCCGTGCATACTAATTACATGTGGGGGCGGGGCCCACAAATCTCTCTGAAGCCAGTGGAGATTTGTTCATTTGATCAAAGATCAAAGCATGACGTGAGACAATTGAGACTCAAGACAAGTGGCTAAGTTGTGACCAGTTCTTCATGAGAGCTCAGTGTGCAGAGTTTGTTGTCCATTGTTTCAGATCTGGCCTATTCCTGCCTTTGACTTGGGTCATGTGGCTAGCACCGGGCTTCTGTGATCTAAAGTTGTTTTTTGAGCCTGGGCTGTTTGGGGTAGAAGTCGTGGACTTCAGGCTGCAAAGTAAAAACTGTTGTGCTTAAAGGGCAAAGTGAAATAGCGAGGGCAAAAGGGCGCGCTGGGTTTCTTTCCAGAGTCCTCAAGTCAACACTTGTTGAAAGCCTGCCAAATAGTGCCTGATGTACCTGCAAAAGAACCGTTTTGATTCAGATTGCCTTTGCTTTGCCTTCGCCAGAAGCTCTTCTACTTCATGGGACCTTCACCAGCAATGCTGGCAATATGCCCTTTGTTGGCGGAGGATGAAAGTCAGGCACTGCCCTCCCTGCACTGCACTGCCATGACTGCGTTCCCGGCCCTTGGGTAGTACAGCGCAGACGGTTCTGTGTCGCGAACTCGTCCGGAAGGTTTTTCGTACCTTGCTGCAACCTGGTGCCATGGTTGTGCTCCGCGGTGAGGCCTGGGAATGTGGGCAAATGGCTTGTTGGTATCGTGTAGCAAGTGCCGAGTGGCGAAGAGTCATCCTTCACTTCATTCTTAGTCGTACTGCATGCTACCAGACAGGACTTGGGGAATTAGCGTTACTACCCTGGAGACCACTCATAGCGGCGTAGCGGATTTTGTGCTGCAAGGTTTGCAGCTGTTCACTGAATCCGCAGCTCTCAGAGCCCTGCGTGCTGGTAGAGGTGGGTTTCTGAAACGAAGGTGCTTTTCTTTGTCGGACAAAGAGAAGTCCAGCAATACATTGACAAGAGAGAGATTCTAAATTCTGTGCTGCCTGCTCTTGTCAAGTACCAATGGAATGAAACGCATTCCCTTTATCTGTGCTCCAGAAGGGCTGGTACTAGTACCAGGTAAACTTCTTTGCCGAGATGAAGCATGGACCTATGGTCGCTTGCTCAGTGGAATCTGGGAAGTGTTGCAGCTTGCTTGAATGTTGCATGCTCGCGAAGTCCTTTTTGAGAGAAGCATGTACAGCCTGCGTTTTGCTTGCTTCACGTTTCTGCACCTTTTGCAGCCAGTTGAGACGCGTCGACAGGACCGCAGATTGTGTGGATTTGACTGAGGAGTCTGCTACTGACCGGGTGCCACCTCCACCGGACTGGCGTCGACCGGGGCATCCTGACCGTTCTGATTGGTTGTCTCCTTCGTCGCCCTAATTCAGACTTGCTTGCTGATTTGTACGGTAGCATGGTCGATGCAAGCAGTGCAGGGAATCCAGATGCCCCTGGATGAAAGTGAGCTTTGGTCATGCGTTATCATACGATCTTCCTTGGATTGCTTGTTGAGGAGCTGCAGAGCTGGCTGGTAGGACGTTTGAAAGCCATTGTTGACAACGATGTGCAGGAGCTGGGGAGAGCTGGGGAGAGTTGGAGAGGGTGATGGCCTTCCTAGAAGTCCCTTACTTTCCAGACCGTCAGGGTTGGCTAGGGGGTGTGGGGGGGAGGTGTGGTCGCAAACGTTGCCCGGACGGGTAGGATGAATCCAGAGCCTGGTGGGGGAGAGCGAACAGTAAGATGTATTTTTAGAAGTCTTGGTGATGCGAGTGATGCAACTGATGCCAATGCATCATTAGCATTAGGAAGTGCTCAGTATATTACAGTATTTAGACTGTCTGACTTGGGTGGAGGATTGAGACCATTTAGATTGTCGAGTGACCAGGGGTGGGGGTTGAGGACAGGAAAGGGGAGATTGCGTAACAGGAAATGCAAGGAAAGAGGTCAGCTCGACGAAAGCAGAATGCAGTTAGCAACCTTGAGTTGCTTGGGGGTGCCCCTTTTTATTGAAGACTTTTGTGCGGGTCTGGGAGTTGACCCAAGCGTTTTGTGTATATCGGCTTCATCATATCGAGCTTTGACGAGACGCAGCGTCTGTCAGCCCTCGGTTTTCCCGTGGCGAATAAGAGTAGAAGGGAAAGGAAGAAACGATGTTACTTCACACTGAGGGTGTTCACCAGGCCAACCTGGTGTGTCCGCCCGGTTAGAGGACAGAAGCGGCGAGACTCTCCTTCTCATAGAGATAGCTGGAGGATATTTGCGGGCTTGATCTTAACAACTGCGTCTTGATATGGGACCTCCTGGGGAAGAAATAGGTTGCAGTCAGCAACCTTTGAGTTGCTTGGGTGTTGCACCGTTTTTGGGGCAAAAGGGCTATTAACTGGATGAAAAAGGGCACCCCTGACCCCTTGTTGCATGCATGGAAGTCTATCCTATTACAGGTAATGGTGGATGGGAGTTAATCCAGGCGTTGCGTATATGTAGGCTCTATCATATCGAGCCTCAAACGCGAAACTCTGCGTCTCAACCTTCGGTTTTCCCGTGGCTACTTTATCGCCCTTTTTCAACTTAAAAATTGCCCTGAACCAAAAGAAAAGGGCCCCCCTTCGACTTATGAATGTCCTGCTCAACCCAACCTTCGCCCCCCGGACTGTAGCCTATCTCCTAACGCAGGGGCTCCGCTTCGATCCTACAACCGCTGACAGTGAATGGGCCTTAACGCCTTAACCAAGACCTTGTGTATGAAGAGCCTATCATATCGACCTTCAATGCGAGTCTTTGCAACTCTCTGCCTTCTATTTCCCCATGCTTGGTAGCAGATCCGGTGCGCTGTCGATTTCACCCCATACCGATGTCTTCTTCCGGAGGCTGGTTTTCGTCCCTTCCCTTCTCAGGTGTATACATAGGCAGCGTGTTCAGATGATGTTTCCTCTCATTTTCCTGCCCTCCTGAGGAGAATGTGCCAGAAGAATGGATCCGGCTTGCACGGCAAACCTTCGTCAGGCACAACGGACGAGGGCTTGTGCTTGTGCTGGTTGTGCCCGGCGCAACCAGGAGCAGGCCAATGAAGATCCTCGAGGCATGGTGAGGGGCAGATTGTTGGACATCAGATTGTGGAAACCTCTTTTTGCATTACTCCAGGGGCAAACCTCTTCCAGAATGATAGAATAGACGCAGACTGGAGCTGCCTGCTCAGATGTCACACTATTTGCCTCACACTGCCGAAGAGTACACCTCTTGCTGGGAAGGTGTAGTCCGGCCTCCTAGACATTCAAGAGATCTTGAGTGTGCATCAATGTATCGGTGCACAGACACGAGATGGGCTAAGTGTATAGATTGAACACCTATATTCTTTCGTGTTATGTGGTGGATTAATTGGTAGAGTTGCTTGAGATGCAGGTAAATGTGTGCCTACTTTGCTGCATTTCTTGCATGATGCGGCTTTCCACAACTCCTGTGGAAACCGACCCGATTCAATCAAATATCAATCTATATATATATATTATGTATCACATTCCTCTCGCTTCTTGTGAATGCTACTTTGAAGGATTTTCAACCTTCAGCTGCAGCTTACTCTTGCACAAGGCATTGGGTGGCTTTGACTGCATTGTGCAGATCCCGAAATCGAAATGGGACATTGACCTGTTCAGACCTCGGCCATGAGACTGCCACATGCAGAGAGACTTTTCCTTTGCTTGTGATTTGCTTGTAGAGTGAGCATGTCTTCTGTAGCTATGATTGGCATGGCTGCGAAAGCGCGGACATCGCTATGGCGCAACCCTTGACTTTGCTGCGCGATCAAGAAATCCTGCAGCTGTGCAGCCCAAAGTTATTTTGGCCGTTTCAACGTGTGGCCTCACTTTTTGCCATGACGATTTTGTGGTCCAAAGAGAACACGAAGAGCGACTTGGACGCTGAGAGCACAGAGTTCGAGGCCGGACCAAGCTCAGAGGCATCAGAAGCCGAGTGGGTCACATCTCTGTGGCTCGATGTGAAGCCCGCTGCAGAGAAAACTGACGAGAAGTGCCTGGGCTGAGTGTCGCTTGAGCGTAGGCTGAGGGTGCCTTTGAAGCCCCGCAAAAAGTTGTTGATTTGTTGTGAAAACTCTTGAAGCAGGACGTGGAAAGTACAGCTGGGAGTTCAGTCCCAGGATTTTCTGCACGAGGATAACATTGCTCATGAAATCCGCATAAATAGACTGAGATTGTTTGAAATTCGCAAGGAAACGCCCAGTTCTGGAGCAAGTTACTGCACTCGGCAGCGACATCTTTAACGAGGACCCGCTGGCCGGATGTTCCAAGCGAGGCAGGGTTTGGCCGGTGTGAAAAATGCAACAGAATATGAGAGACTTTCAGAGTATTTCTTCCGCTCTTGCCCCTGGAGCGGGTTCAGGGTTCCACTTTCAGTCCTTGTCTAACACCACTTCGATTGCACCAAGAATAAGAAAGGTGAAATCGACAAGCCCTCTGCTGGTAGGCTGTCTGCTTGGCTTCGAAGCTAGTGAAGAACACAGTTCTTCATCAGACCTTTTGAGACTTGCTTGTGTACGAACTCCACGCGAGAAAAACGTTCAACGCAATGTGGACTTGAAAACTCTTTTGCCATCAACTCACAAGGGCTAGCGAGCGCCAACCAACACGTTCAGTCAAACTGCTCAGTGGTTGGCAGGGGGCTGGCGCCTGCACATTGCTGTTGGCCAGCGCAGCGAGCATCACGGTTTGTACAGAGCCAAAAGATCGACAAACAAGCAACAAGAAGCTATTAGAAACAAGTGCATCGCTACTAGGAGCAAGAAGCTATTAGTGACAAGTGCCTTACTACTAGTAACAAGAAGCTACTAATTTCAGAAAGTTCAACATAGACCGTTCCTAGGCTCTAGAGTCACGGATGTCGATTTGGTACCTCTCCTCTCTTCATGAGGCAGACTGAGATGATGGGGTTCATCGTGTTTCGCATTAAGCCTGAGAGGAACGCCTTAATCATTGCACAGTTGGCAGTTCCTGAGGACCCAGAGAGTTGAAGAGTGGGAACTGCTTTGAGTCTTGTTACCCTCAGGCTCTTTTGATTGGCGGTTTGCTTGCGACAATCTGCCGGTGTGTTGAGTTGGAAAGAGGTTTGGAACCAGCCAAGTACTCGTAGCAGAAACTAGTGGCCACGAAGTGACATTTGTGGCCATGATCGCAGGAGCACCGGCGAATGGGCTTTGGCAGTTTGCTCCTGAAGACTTTGATCGCAGAGGCAAAGCGCTTGCCTGAGATTAACAGCATTGGCTTGTCTTCCTTGCCGGGGTCTATCAAGTTCTACAAGAGGCGCACGTCTTGCCCAAACAGTCTGCGATAAGGGCCGTTTGTTTAGTTGTTTGTTTGTTTGTTTGTTTGGTTGGTTGGTTGGTTGGTTGGTCGGTTGGTTGGTTGGTTGGTTTTGTTTGGTTGGTTGGTTGGTTGTTTGGTTGTTTGTTTGTTTGTTTGTTTGTTTGTTTGTTTGTGTGTCTGTGTGTCTGCTGTGTGTCTGTCTGTGTCTGTCTGTGTCTGTCTGTGTCTGTGTCTGTCTGTCTGTCTGTCTCTCTGTCTCTCTGTCTTTGTGTGTGTCTGTCTCTCTGTGTCTCTGTCTCTCTGTGTCTCTGTGTCTCTGTCTCTGTGTCTCTGTGTCTCTGTCTCTCTGTGTCTCTGTCTGTCTGTGTCTGCCTGGCTGCCTGCCTGCCTGCCTGCCTGGCTGGCTGGCTGTCTGTCTGTCTGTCTGTCTGGCTGGCTGGCTGGCTGGCTGGCTGTCTGGCTGTCTGGCTGTCTGTCTGTCTGTCTGTGTTTGTGTTTGCGTTTGCGTTTGGGTTTGTGTTTGTGTTTGTGTGTGTTGAGATATCACGCCACTGCGCACTCCAGACTGCCAACTTCACTGTTGGCTCAAGTCAAGATCACAGCTGCTGAGTCCACTCTGTGTAGAACTGACCAGGGAGGAAGCAATAAGCTTCCGCTACCAACCCAATTCTTACAAACGATGGAACAGTGGGAAGACTGGAGCTGGTCTGTGAAGGCCTATGTGTCACTGTTCAAGCACGAAGTACTGAAGTCATGGAGCAGTTAGATTCTGGCAACACCAATCACTGATGAGAGACTGGAGACACTGGAAACTGCGTTACTTGCAGCCTCAGCTGACTACTGATAGTGCCAGACTGGTAGTACTTGGAAATGTTGGAATGACTGGCTTTGAGACATGGCGTTTTCACTACCACGAACTGCGCTGGATATCAGTCTGCTGTCCAAAGTACTGGAGTTTAAATTTCGCCCTGTCTTTGTCGACGCCTTTTGTTGGCTTGTGGGCCCCGGACAGCGCCGTTTTGACCTCAGCTCTCCTGCGGGCGCTCCTTGGTCTGGGGACCACTTTTGGAGATCAATACCTGGCTGGGGCCCAGGGTCCAAATGGCTGCTCAGAAACACGTCATGGAAGATGGAGGGGCGTAAGGACAGGCCTGGATCTTTTCTCTGTTGCTGTGTTGAATTCAGAAACCTTAAGGGTTGCCGTCCTGAAATTGCTTGAACTGCTTAACGGCAGGATGTCACGGAATCATATGAACACACTTGTCATTACCATGACGCGCTAGCTATACACCATGACGGTTGAACTCATGTACGCGTGCGTGATGGGAGTTTATTTCTGCTATGTTCACAGCGAGCCTTGTGGGCGCGCCACAGGTCACGTGTGTGAACAAGAGTTCTTGGTTAAATGGCGCGTGGCGTTTCTAGTGGGTGATCTTTTGTGAACCGCAGAAGTTGAACATATTTTTGTCAAACATATGAGACGCTTGCTTTGCCTAAGCTTCTGTGTCCTCTTTAATCTGCAAGAGCGCGATGTGAATATAAAATTGTATGAGCTGGTAGTTTGTCATGAGTGTTTGCATCCCCTTATGTTTATATACGCCGTTGCAGTCTGAGAGTTCGAGACGGTCAGGCGTCTTGTTTCGACTCGAAGCTCGGGTTCAAGAAGGCAACGCGTTCGGGACTGTACGGGACCATTTTTTCGTAGACCAGAAGAGTACGCGCTGTCTCCATCGGGCAAAAGAGCGAAGATGCGCAAGCCTTTTTTCTTTTCTTTTTAACAATATTGTGAACTATCTCTGACGGCGTGATGTGCCGAAGTTTTGTGCGTTTGGCTGAGCGTAGCTAAAATAGAACGGTGTTGCAGCTACACCTTCACAGGGGCACTTGGATTCTATCGTAGGAAAGAATCCACCTGGGCTGAGAAGCGCGATTGGAAAACCACCAGCCATTCTGGGCACTGTTTGTGAACTCCTACTTCTGTGATTTCATTTTTGCATTTTTGTCTGGTTTGTCGCTTGTAAGGTTACTGGATTGTTCTTGGAAGAGACAGGGTGAAACTGTTGACACCTGGCGAAGAAACTGCGAGAATCATTTGACATGGCACACTGTTGTACCTCGCGCCACCCATTGTAGCCTATGATGAAACTGTCATGGGTCCACGCGAACGTGTGCTGGAAGAGTGCGTGACCACACTGGATGTTTCAACTGCAAGTGCTGATCAACCAACTGCAAGTACTTCGACTAAAACCTTACTAGCCGCACGGGCTCTTGGCAATTGGATTAGGCGAAAGGAACGGTTCACAACAAAACAAGGAGAACAATGTTCACGCCGAACCGATCAGACTGTCCTGCCCCAGGGAACAGATCTGCTGGGGGCCACTGCGCTTGACTTTGGAGACGGACCTCAGGAGACTCAAAACAAAATGAAGAAGGAACGCTGGAAAGGCAGGACTGTGCCTGGAAATTCCGGCTGTACCTGACATGACCTTCAAGGCCTGCCATTGCCTACAAAACAGTCGAAAGCCATTGTGATGTTCACTGCGCCACTTGGCGTCGCCACTGAGATTTTAGAAGGTTGGAATTGCGCTCATCACTTTGTTTGCAAATGGCCAACCTATAGTTCACTCCACGTTCAGCACTGCTGCGGATGCTGCAGATGTACTGGACAAAGGCCATCGCGCTGAGCGATGCGTGACGGTCATCGCGGCAAGGTTCACTGGACACCATGGAGCTGATGCTGCTCAGACTACTTCAGCCGCCAATGGTTGGATCAAAGTTCTCACTGATTCTGAACTGGCATTGGGACTTGCCGTTCGACTGAGCTTCAGCTGATTGATTGTTTCGCCGTGAGCTGAATGGTGCTGCGCCTTTTGGACTGTGCTGCGGAGGACTGCTAGGTCACTTGGTGATCCCACTGTCCATCTCGAAGAAGCATGAGGCCAATGAAGAAGGGTCACCGCGCTGCGCAAGACCACTCCACGGTGACTGCCAAGCAATGCAAGATCACTGTGGATGGAATCACTAACAGCGTCACTGTGAAGGCGGAACTGTCGACTGAACTGTGCACAGTGAACTGAGGAAACTAGTGTAGTGTAGTGACTCGTTGACTGATTTCAAGAAGTCTCAAAGTCACACACTGTGTTGAGTAGGCGCTGACGAAGCTCCCCTGCGTGTGAGCTGAATCTTTGATCACAGTTCAAGCACAGTGTTTATTTAGATACCACTCCCACTCCACTGCGCACTCCAGACTGCCAACTTCACTGTTGGCTCAACTCATTGAGACACGATCGCCGCTGTTGAGTCCACTGTGTGTAGAACTGACCAACAATCGAATTTTGCAGTTTTTTTTTTGTGTGTGTGTGCGCGCCATGTGTGTGGGCATCATGTACTTTGCCAACGCATTTCCTCACAACCATGGAAGTTGTTAAACTACCTTGGTGCTCCTGGTGTTTTACTGTACCGAAGGCCCGAAGGCAAACCTTCCTGCTTGGATTCCAGGCATGGCTTCAAGCTGATTCACAGGCTTCCGGATTCCGAAGCGAAGGCGGAAGGTCAAGTCTATATGGAGCTGAAGACGCCGACCAAGAAGAAAAAATGAAGAACATGAGGCACTTGCTGTAAAGAACGGACATGCTCTTGAGGGCAAGATGTGCATTCTGTTCAAAGTTTGATTGACTATGCAAAAAAATGGGTTGCTGTTTTTTGAACGGCAGTTCCGCGGTGTTTCCGGAAAGCGGAACGCAGTCCGGCAGCCTTTCTTCAGCGTCCTGCTATGCCTTGCGATGCTGAAGGCGGCTTTTTGCTGCACAGAGACTGTGTTCGACCTTTTCCCCGGATACGTCCGGAGCTGCTTTGACGCCAATATTGGGCGTCAAGACGCATGATTCATGCCTGGCGATAGCGCGCGTGCTTCATGGGATTCGATTCTCCTGGATGGCACATGGAGTATGACCATCATCCATGACATTGGTTTCTTTCAAAAGAATCTGCCTATGGCATCCTATGGCCCCAAAATTCCGTCCATCATGAGGCTGTATGTGTGCTGTCTATTGAGGCAGATCAACCGATGCTCGATCTGTCACTTGAATCCTTGCTGTCAGCCAGTGACCTTGTGCCGCTTGTGCTGTGCCGGCAACTCATAAGCGCTCAGTGACCGTAGCCTCCGGCCGTCCTGAGCCAATCTGCCGTTGCGGCAGTTTCACTCCTTTGGCGCAGGTGGCACGAGCGCATGTGCGCACACAGTTGGTCGATATGAAGTATAGAAGTACATGATATGAGTGATACTGTTGTTCGACCAAGTCACTCAAGTAAAGAACTGGCTTTCACAGGCCAAAGGGTAGGAAATATCCTGCCCAATCTCCTACATGTTACCTGTAGACATTGGGGGGCTTCCGGCTGCCGTGGGCGCCTTGAGGGCACGGCCGACCGCTCTGTGCTGGAAGTTGGAAAGAAAACGGATCGCGGACTGCGGAGCATTCTTCACCGTGGCAAGTTGGGTCAAGTTGTAGAGAGGAGATCCTTTGAGAGACCAATTGAATTGTTTCTTTGCCGGACAGCTGAGGTATTTCGATCCTGACCCAGGCAACCGGGATGACTTCGTTATGTACACGAGGCTCTTTGCATGGCACAGCTGATGCACTTCCTTGCACTAGCTTGTTGCTGACAAAAACAACCAAACTAAGCCCAAAGGCTTTCATTCAGTAAAGGAGTAAAAGGTGATTCAACATGATTTAGTACAAACGAGTGTAACACTTGGAGTTGAACTGTCGTGATTTTTGGATATTTTTGGTCTGCCAAGATCTAGGCACATGGGAGTGCTGGAGGATCAAGGGACAATGAGCTCAGCAGAGCTTTTGGCCTTCGGCCTCAGCCAGGAGACCAATGTGAGTCGTAGAGTCTTCAGAACTTCCATGGTCCATTATGGTCCATTGGTTCCAACCTTTGTTCCCGTATCATTCTATTTTCCCCGTTCCCCACCAGGTGTTTTTGGGCATGAGCCACCCTTTGAACCTTTGTGCATGCGTATTTGTTTTGTGCCTCCAGCCAGTATTTGCTTGGCTTTGCGACAAAACCTTCAGCGCAGTGGTGTGTACAGTCAAAAGCATGGATGTAGGCACAGGGTTCTCGATGTATTCACCCATCCATGCATGCATGCTCAATATCCTCATCGCTCCATCCATTGCAGCATTCATCAGAAGGTTGTTGCATTCACCAAGACATGAAAGAGAACCAGGCAGAAAAAACGTGCATTTATCACACAGCATCAAATAAGTCCAAACCCACGTCGTTGCCTTTGATAGGGTATTGATTGGATGAAGATGTTCGCAGGGGGTCGATCCGTTGTGTCCCTGACTGGTAACGACTTGTTGATTGGATTGTCCATACCCAAGCAGTCAACAAGCTTGGAACTCCCAAAGACAATCCAGATGCAAGAAATGCTATGATGTTTCACAGGGTTTCTTGCATCATCAGCTATATACTCAAATGTTCAACCAGGCCTCAGGCAATTAGTGCATACGTTGGAGGCCTTGTAGGCCAAGCTTGTTTTGTTGCGTTTTGTTTCTGGTTTCGTGCTTCAGGAGGACCCGCGGCAAACCTTGCTTTTGCGGTCTGTGCAAGACTGCTTCGGTCAGTCCGGGCTCAGCCTGGTCCTAAGCGGCTGAACCACGACTCAAACTGAAAGTAATGATTGAACAGCGTTTGAGAACTGACCTACTTGTTTCTCCGTACATTTAGGCAGGCGAGTGAGCAGCTAACATGACGGGTGCAGTATTTGTAAAGCTCGCGCGGTTCCAGAGTTGGCCACTGCACGCTGTTCCCCAATATATATATATATATAGATACACGACATGTATTTATAGCAAATATATACATAAAATTTGCTTGAAGACTTTCAGGCAAGGAGGAGCTGCGGAACCAAAGCATGGGTGTAGCACTCAGAGATAATTCCTTTGAGCTGGAGGAGGCTTGCACCTCTTTCTAAGTAGGAGGGCCAGTATCCTTAAATTTTGATCGAGCCTCACTGTAGAATCGACTTTCAAAGCCTTACTCTAATTAAGTTTAAATTGAATTCTTGTTTCTAATAGCTAATTGCTTCTTGTTACTAGCAGCGATGCCAGGAGCCCCTAGTAGCGTCCTTTGCTCCTAGTAGCGAAGCCCCTAGTAGCGTCCTTGCTCCTACCCCCCTATTCAGGCTTCTTTTGTGGCTTGTCTGGCAACGAGATGTGCCCTGTAGTATTGTAAATACGCCCATAGCACTTAGTAACTTTCAGTGTTCAGAGAGTTGTGTGAACGATCTAGAGCATGTAAGCCCTTGTCGTGCTTTTTTTGGGAGATATACTCGGCACCCTCATCTGCCTGGTGAAAGTTTGTGTATTTGTCCTATGAACGTCGCACACTTTTCTGCAGGTACCATAAGCTGGTTTCGGGCGATTTGAAGTCCATTGGCAGAGCTGCACAGGGCTTGATGCAACTTGGCTCCACAGTAGAGTTCTTATAATATCCCTTTTGATTCCATCCCCATTCCTGAATCCTTCCTGGTCCAGTGACTGCCCCTGTCCTTCTTCTGAGAGCCGAAGGAGCAATGCGGCCAATGTCAACCGGCTTGCCTGGTACTATGCGACCAGAGGGTGTGGAGCAAAGCTAACTGCTAGCTGAACAAATCCAACTAGAACTCCAACGCTGATCCTAATCTGTTTGTACTTTTCTGTCACTTCTGAGGCCCAGCATTTGTGTTGACACGGAGGAGTCTTCTGGTGCAGCAGCCATGGATACCGCGCTGAACTACCAACGTGAGGTGCGCGGTGCGCTTGCCCAAAGCTTTGTGCAAGGATCAGCTGTGGATGGTACTGATTAAATTGTCCCGAACGCACTGGTCACTGACCACCGGTCTACGGAGCCCCTCGAACTGCAAAGGATCGCTGTAGCAAAGCCATCGTTTGCAGCACTCATTTGGTCTGGCCCCAAGAGGATGAAGAGGTTGTTGCAAAGGAGAGCAGTTGAATGATTGAATGGCAAAGGCATTGCACACCCCAAGCTGCCAAGATGTTTCCTGCTGCCCAGATCCAGCACCCTGTCTCCTTGATTGTTTGCTGTGCACGGAGCTCAGCTACGTGCTTGATGCCCTCCAAGATGAGACTTCACACGAAGTATCACATCCTGTGGAGCCCTTGAGACACATAACTCTGTTGAAGCACCGTTGACAGGGACATACAGTCACTTATTTGCTCCGGATTCTTTATTTTCCACTTTTTTCCTATGGTTTAAAAAAGTTTGCCCTAAACAAAGAGGAAAACACAAAAGGAAACGCATGTGAAAAGACACTTGCCAGGCCATGGGTCAGCTGTCGACGACCACCCGCGGACGTGCCCGGCGTCCTGAGACATTGTTGAAGACGCAACGCACTTTGCGCTTGACTTTAGCTCTTGGGGTGGCGCTTACGGTGGCCCCTGCTAAGCGGGAGAGCTCTAGAAAAGCATTAGCTAAAGCTGTCTTAGCTATGTCATGATCCAACTTTTACGAGTTGGACAGTAGATTCCAGTGCCAAAAGCAGGTTTTACTTTCCACTTGCAATGCTTTTTTTGAGCTCAATCAAGAAACAGGGTTGTCATGTTCGAAGCTTCCACAAGGCCTTTGACGAATCCGCAGATGGTGTGATGCGGAGTGAAGGTGCAAAGTCAAGCAGTCAAGGATGAACTGTGCATTTGTTTTGCAGGCTTTAACTCTGAGTCATTTGTTTTGGTGAGTCTACATTGTTGCTGAACTAAGCATTCCACCATGAGCTCTGCAACATTTTGGCTCAATAATGTATTCAGAGTAAGCAGATTTGTGCTGGTATAATATATACAGTACTTCAAATATGCATGCTACAAATGTACCCAGTAAACCAATAAGCTTGGTGGGTTCCAAAAAGTTACTCACAGGATTTCCAGTTTCTGTCAGCTCTCTGTTGCTGCCAAGTCGATGGCTCTTTTGCCGCCCTTGCTTTTGCAGCTGCTTGTAGTGCAGCTGCAGCTGCTTGTAGCAGCAGAAGAGATCTCTGAGGTGAGCAGCTCTGTGAGCTTTGATCCATCAGCATGAGCAGACTTGTAGACTTCTAGCGTTGCATGGGCGCAAGCATGAGAGGAGCAAGAAGCTTAAAGTATGGCTGAGTATGGTGTATCTTTTGCACCAAAGCAGTTTTAGGTAAGGAAGGCATCATGTTGGCTGCAAGGCAGCTGTCAACACGAGCCTCACTGTGGAAAACTGCAGGTGCGGTCCTCAAGATGTTGCTGTGCAATTGCACTGCAAGTTTGGTATGGGAGTGCTATCCCACACACACACACAAAGTTCCTCAAAACTTCAGCATGCAAAGGTTCCAATTCTATGATTGTTGGATTTTTCTTTGCCGTTGATGTTGACAAAACACTTTGGCCCAGGAGATATTTGCTGGCTGTGAGCTCCCATGGTCCTGGCTTCTACCAGGAGGACAATTTGCATCGCCGGGACACCTTGTAAGGGGCAGATTTGGGCATCATGTGTTGTTAAACGCACTCCCATGTGCTGCTGTGGTCTTGAAAGGTTACAGCCGATGCTTGTTTGTTTTGCGCTGGGCCCTGAGCTTGGCATATACAAAGGACCTATCTGAGAGCCAACAAGTGACGATCTGATTGTTTGAAGCACATACATCATCGGCTTGCTGAAATCAAGTGAGTTTGACATTTGTCTTAAGCCCAAGGCCATGCTCCTGAAGTTCCGAAAGATATTTTTGTGGGTGGCCAACATCATCCAACCATTGCTTGGATCCCTGGACGAGAGAGCGAGCGAGAGAGAGAGAGAGAGAGAGAGAGTGAGAGAGAGAGAGAGGGAGAGAGAGAGGGGGGGACTTGCAGGAGAAAAGAACAGCAAACACAAACCAAGAAGAAGGTTCACTTGGGCCCCTGGAGCAGAAGGCTCCCTAGTAAAGGGGGGCGGAAGTAACTTTGGCCTTTTTTCATCTCTTGTCTTGTCCAAGTAATCACCGTTACTAGCTACTGGCCTGGCCTTATATATATATATATATCCAAGTAAGAAGGCAAAGGGAAAGACGAGAACCCTCATGTCCTTTGGTTCTTGGATGTTCTCGGTATCATTTTGCTTCTTTTTTGCTATCACTTCTGTTCTTTTCCAAGTGTCACGCTCCTTTGGTGTTCTCGGAGATGTTTCAGAAGCACGCAGTTGTTTCGGAAAAGGTCGTGGTGAACCACAGGGAGCCACACATGCAGATGCCACCATCGCAGCCGCCACCATGGCCCAGAAGGTCTTGAGAACTTCACCTCGTCCTCTTGCGTTGAACATCCAACCTATGTCCACCAAGAAACCATTGTGTATGGAGTTGTATGAATTTTCGAGCTTAGAAAAAGAGCTGAGCAAGAGATTCCTTTCACCTTCGATTTTTACAGTGGATCAGTTGTGTGTTGAGCTGCTGTGGTGTGCTGTGATGTGACAGGAAGATCGCGGACATTCCTTTGCAGCCATTCCAGGACTGGTGTAGCTTTCATCCACTTTCTTACCGAGCATGCGGTGCTAGGAGCTTCAGGGGAGAGGTTCTTTTTGCTGTTCAGCCACAGACTCGAGAAGTCTTGCTTTCGCAGGACACCTCTGCTGAATTTGTGCGATTGGAACGGCGCACTCCGCATCATTTCGTGCTGCCCTTCTTCGATGTGAACATTGGACATGCTATCAAAAATCAGGCAAGGAGTCATCATTCATTGCCTGTCGGGGATTTCACCTCATGAAGTCAACCCAGAAATCACGAAAGCCAGCCGGCAGACACTCGCAAACGAAGCTTTCAAAGCAGCAAGGGCCTACGGCCGTTTGCGCAAGAACTTCGTTGAGAATATGGCGCGTAGGGCATCACAGGCTGAAACTTCAACCCGTTATGCAGCATGCAGTTATGCTGGCTCCGGAAACGGAGCCGCATAGACCCTCATCTACTCAATTGAAAAGGAATTACTTTGCATGCAAGCGCCAACGCATAGAGAGCCACAGGCTGAACTGTTCCATTCAGCCTATCCATCTACAGTATTTGTGAATCAATTCTATTTGCTCACCAACAATCACTTGCATCACCTGCATCATCAAGTCTATCCAAGTCAACACATATCATTTTGGCTACCATTGCTACCATTTAATCCATGCAGTTCCACCAATTTTTGCGTGCCCACCCATTACCCACTTCGTCCACAAATACCGAAAAAAGAGTGCTGCCCCGCACGCTGGCTTTCGTATTATCCTTCTCAGGCTGATTCTGGCGCCAAAGAAACGACAAAGTTTAAGTGACAAAGTGCATATGACAGTGTGGTGAGAATCATCGCCTGCAGGGCTCCATGAATCATATGCAGAGCTACCAAATGCAAGTGCTGTTGCGTCCTGGGGACGTGGCTATCGATGTGGGTGCCAACTTGGGTTGCTACACAGTGGCCTTGGCAGAGGCGTTGATAATTGAACGAAAGACGGAAAGAGGCGTAATCAAGGCAACGGTGAAGTTGTGCTGTCGTTTTCGAGGAGTCAAAATCATTTGATCTTTGAGGCAGTGGGACCGAGGGGGCACGTGATTGCCTTTGAACCATTCCGATGGCTCCATCAATTGGTTGTTGCCAATGTGGCCATCAACGGCACCTTGACCGCGTGATAGGCATCGTTGGGAGTGATGAGGCTTTGCCAATGCCACAACCAAACAGGAATGGCGGCACCTTGTCGAGGATTGAACCTGAAAACTTGAAGTGCTCCTTCAGGTCTAACTGAGCTCACATGTTGCCATCCCATTTTTACATCAAGACCTGAGGCCTGCAAAATGTATGGCCAGTGAATGCCGCCTTGGGGCAGGCTGAGGAGATTCTTGGCTGAGCATTTTCAAGAGATATTTGTCACATCCTTATACATTCTTCAGGTTTGACCTTCATCTAAAAGAGCACCTTATGACTCAAATCTTCGCAGTTCTGTTTTGCTGCAGACGCATCCTGCTATACCCCCCGCAGCTACGCTTCTTCTCCTCGCCTGGCGGTGTGCGGATCAAGGGACAACAGGAGGAGGTCCAGGCCAAGCACCAGCATCTTGATTGGGAACATTGTGAGGGGCAAAAATATATGCGATAGTATATGCGAAATGCGTTATATACTTGTATTTTTCTTCGACAGGTTAGCATGTGCGATGGGGAAAGTTTCCTAAGGTCTTAGACCTCTCGTGTGACATGAAACATGGTTCAGATTGGACCAACGGACCAATCTTCTGCTGTTCTGAGGCACGAGGCCTTTCAGCTGTACGACCTCATGGCCCAAGAGCCGGAGCACCGGAACGGAAGTGTGACTCTTTGGTGAAGCTGAAGTCGTGTGGATGTTCGGTACAACACCATGTACTTACATAGCAGAACATGTCGTGTGGATCCTTTTTCTGGACGCATAGACTCCTTGCGTTGCCAGGAGTCTGTGCGTGTGGTTCGCTTGGACGACTTGCTGCTGGATGGTGAAAGGGCTCAAAGCTGGGCGCTTCCATTGGTGAAGGATGTGCGGCTGATCAAGAACCGAGCTCATTTTCTGATGAACATTTGAGCTGTGAGCTTTAGAAATTTTTCTTCTTCCATGTTGTCGTGGGACAAACAGATGTTGTGCTTTCTGAGGATAGATGTGGAGGGCATGGAGGTGGCGGTTGTCCAAGGTCACTGGTCCTGCAGTCGCTGTCACTGGTTGGCCTGGGAATACTATTCCAAGATATTTCATTCAATCATGGCTATGCTTTGGTTTTGGAAGGTGCCTTGGGATTGATCAGTCACTTTCGACCAATCATTTGGGCAGAGAACAATGCTTACTTTGACTCTGGCGGAAAGGTGGGCTCAGATACACTGATACACGACAGTTTGAGAGTGAGAGACGAACAAAGGAAAACATAAAAAGAACAGAAACACAAATGCATACATATAAATGACCTGAATGAAAGGTCCAAAGGAAAAGAAAGGTGCAAAGTCTCTTCCAGTTTCTGTTGGAGGACACTGCCTTCCTGCAAGCCTTGGCCAGCGTGGGCTACCAGTGTGCTCGTGCAGACTCTGCCCCGGGTGACGTAATTTGCACCGATGCAGGCTGGCGAATAATCCCAACGACGCTACTAGGAACAAAGGGCATCGCTACTAGGAGCAAGAAGCTAGTAGTACGGATCGGTAAGTCAGACTCAAAAGGTCTGAAGTTTGGAATCAATTTCCATCAGGAGGCCAAGGACATCAAATTCCTTGATGGACCTCGACTCGACAGTCTCTTGGACACTGCTATACTATGCTATGCTCACCAAATGTATGGGTGCCCACACAAGATCTCATATCCTTTGGAGGAATAGTGATTTTGAGGGTCTCTCAATCCAACATTTTGGCCTGTGGACTCGAGAGGCAAAATGACACAACCATATGATTGCGCCGTCTCCTGCAGCCTCCACCTGCTGCCCCAAAATATGTGCTCCATTGCTCAAGGTTGAAGCTGAAGTTCACAAACGAAGTCGTAACGTTGATCAACACGTGGACCCATGCAGGTTGGGCTCCCAGTGCGCCGTTTCAACCCGCAGAACACTCGCTGCTTGTAGCCCTTTAGGGCCTTTAGTTGAGTTTCATTTGCTTCCTTGGAGTTAAAGGTGGTGAGCAAGAAAGATCAAGCCTGGGAAATCCTGACGATCAGTCGATGAATCAGTTTGTCAAGTGAAACTTGGCATGAAAGATGGTGATTCCCGTAAACAAACGTTTGGTGACTTTTGGCGTGCTTCAGGGCTGTGCTTTCTTCAATTATATATATATATATAATTTGTTGTTTGCAAGGCTGCCCGGCAGCCAGCATGTTGGTGAAGACTGAAAACAAAGCACATGATTGGTGGTAATGAAGGATGTGCCAGTCAGATGCATTGAGTAAGGTGAAGGCGCATATTAGCTCAAGATTTCTGGACTTGCACTGAATGACAGAACGACAATGGTGGACACATCAAGCTGCGGTGGGTGCGCAAGGAGCTCCACTTCTTGAGGAACAAGCAATGTTTGTTCATGCAAGTGCGTTTATCAGAGTTTTCACAACCCAACGGATAGTGATGGTTTTGAAGCAGAAGCAAAAGCAACTTGTTTTCTATACTGAGTGGGTTTTCCTGAAGGATTATGACTTGCCTGAAATGTGGTTGCGAAAGGCTTGATGGCATAGCCTTGTAAAGAAGTTGAAGGTTCTTTGCACCTGGCATTGACTGAAGGCTTGAGAAAAGAGGGCGATAGAGTTGCGACCTGGGGAACTTTCCTCAACAACGATGAACAGTTTAGAATTGTAGCGGTTATAATTGGGCAGTTCTGTCCTCCTGCCTCGCGCCACACTGATAGAAGCCAAACAGCCACATATCTTTCTTCTGCAACACCGTCGCGCCCATTTCCCGATTTCCACCGCTCTTGCAGGCAGTGTTGCTTTGTTCTTGGAGGTCTTTGGTCGCCGCAAGGCTCTAGGGGGAACATTCACTTTCAGACTTGCATATAATATATATATATATATATGTCCCCATCACCTCACATCTCTCATCAACACTGAATGCACTCAGACATATGTCAAGCTTGTGAAGCTTCACAAGCTGGTCCAGGTGGATGACTTTGAGTTTGGCTTTCCAGAGGCACGACACGCAGACACGAGTCCTTTGGGCGCTTGGCAGTTTGCCACTTGATTCCCTTATTGTCCGGAAGGACCCAGAGGATGAGCTCGAAGAGGAAGACCTTACAACGGCAAGGAGACCTTCGGATCAGCTTTGTTTTGTTTTTTCCCCAAACAGTTTACTGTTGAGGTTCTCTCTCAGGACAAAAAGACAACGACAGTCTCTGGCCACACAGCAGTCTAAAAAGAGGTTCTCTACTAGAGACAGAAAAAGCTGGCCACACTCTGTCCACCCCGGTGAATGCTCCGGCGTTGTCCTCCTGTTGTCCTCTTTTTGTCCTCTTCTTGACTCCCTGTTGTCCTCTTGCTGACACCAGCTTGGCCGCGGCTGCCAGCCGGTCTCAAGACCTTGTCCTCCTGTTGTTCTCTCGTTCTCTTTCTGCTGGTGTCCAGCTTGGCTAAGCCCTATGACAGCCTGTCGTATTCTTGTCATCTTCTTGTCCTTTTTCCAGCTTGGCGCGGCTGCTAGCCCGTCTCCAGTCCATTTGTTGTATTCTTTTTGCGGTCTCCTGTGCTGTTGTCCTTTTCTTGTCCTCCTTTTGTCCTGTTCTTGATCTCTTCTTGTCCCTGTTGTCCTTTTGTTGACACCAGCTTGGCCGCGGCTTCTAGCCAGTCTCCAGACCTGTTGTCCTCTTTTTGTCCTTTGTCTTTTCTTCCTCTTGTCACTCTTGTCCTCTTCTTCTCCTCTTGTTGTCCTTTTCTTGTCCTCCCGTTGTCCTCTTCCTGTCCTCCCGTTGTCCACTTGATAAGAACATCTGCTGGGTGTCCACAATGACCGCATGGCAGAGTGTAGACATGACACCATGACAGCTTGCGCGCGAGCAGCACCGTCCCCAAGTGCAATCAAAGGGCCCAACGCAAGAAAACAATTGCGCACAGGCAGCGTGGCCGCGTGGCAGCCTGTCAGCATGTACACATGACAACATGCAAGCCTGCGTTACAAAGCGGTGAGGCACTAGCAAGACAACCCCAGAAAGCAACGCGAGAAGCCGAATGTCCTCTCCTTGTTCTCCTGTTGTCCTCTTCTTGTGGGGCTCTCTTGTAGGAAAAGAAGCCGGCCACAGTGTCAACCTGTGCCAGCGAGCCCTGTCGGATGTCTTCGTTTGCCTCTTGTCACAAACTTTTCGGTTCTGCCTCACGTTCTTCTATTGCCTTCGGGTTGTCATTCTTCAGGTTTTCATTGCGGCTGCCAGCCTATCTCCGGTCGTGCTCCTCCCGTCGTCGTCTTGTCTTCTTGTCCTCTCTTCCTTCTCCTCTTGTTCTCCTCTTGGTGTGCTCCCCTTATGTTGTCTTGTTGTTCTTTTGGCATTGTCCGGTCACAGCTTGTCCTTCTTTTGTCCTCTTGGTGTGTTCGTGTTGTTTTCCTTCCCTCATCCTTTTGTCCTCTGTTGTCCTCCTCATGTCCTCCTCTGGTCTTTCTGTTGTCCTACTACTGTCGTGCTGTTTACGATGCTTTCCAAGGCAGGGGCTCGGGCTGCGGCCACCCACAGCAACAGCAATTCTTGCCGACTAAACTGTTTGGGGTCTATGCTGGTAGTTGTTTTACTATCCTCATATATATATATACACACATACATGTATACACATTCTTCTTAAAGTCATTCTTTTGTTCAACTTTACTATATACATGCACAAGCTTCGTGGGCTTCATTAGCCTTGCAGGGCCATTGTGGCTGGCTCTGCCCTGAATTCACGCGGTCAGAGCTCCAGCCTCACTACACCAAGTGGCTGGAACCCCAGAAATATTGAACCAGTGGGACTTTGTGGAGAGGGTTTTTGGTTTTCTCAGCTTTCCGGAGCTGGGACCCTGTCAGGCCCTGCCATGCGAGATCTCATCCATTCGGCGCTGAAGGACCCATGGACTGCTGTGACAGATTCAACGTTGGCTTCCCATAAACTTGACACATTTGAGGTAAAGCTAGGCCAAAGGCGGATATGACATCAGGATTCCAAGTCCCCTGCTTGCATCATCGATGCTGTTGAGGCTGGGTGAGCAAATCATGAGATTCCAGTTGCATCGGATCAAATGCGCAAAAGAGCACAGTTCTCCAGCACTTTCTTGCCTCCATTCTTGTTTGCCTATTTGGACCCAAACCTGCCTTCAAGTGAGATCCTTGAGCAAGGTTTGTTGCTTATGCTGCATCCGAAGGTTGTGTCACAGGCTTCTAGATTCCAGTCATTCCGATTCCATCAATTACAGTTCGATCACGGTTTCTCCATCCTTATCTCCTCGCCTCTCCCGGCCTCACTTGCTCGAACTTGTATTGTTGGGACAAGTTTGTATTGTTTCTAATAGCTGCTTGTTCCTACTAGTAAGGCACTTGTTACTACTAGCGTGGCACTTGTTACTACTAGCTTCTTGTTCCTAAGGCTTTGTCCCTAAGGCTTTGTGCGGCACACGATTCACATTTCTTTATTTCCACCAGCATGCAGGGGTTCAACCTCTGAGGCGGGAGTGGTCCACAGTTTGCCTCCGGCGCCCGAAAGCCGGAATTCCCTTGAACTTTGGGAACCCGGAGTGCTGTTGTGTTGTCGGACTAATCTGGGCGCTATTAGGTGCTGTGATCGGACTTCCGCTTTGGATTTCTTTTGCAGGGCCAACTTCGCAGGCGGACCAGAACCGAACCATGAGACATAAAGCCAGGATTGGCTTGCCATCAGTCTGCTAGCAGGGAACCATGTCAGTCAACTTAAACAGGTCATCTGAAAGCCTCCCTTCCTGCTGCCAGCTCCTCCGTGTTGATCCGTGGTAGGCTGGTCAACTTGCAACTTAGCCGGGCTGCGTTTGGCAGGCTTTTTTGGGGCATTGGCACGTTTCAACTTTGCGCTAGCAGCCGCCAGTTTGCTTTCACACGTCATCGCTGGCTTCTGGCCTGGTAAGCTCAACAGCGTCGGAGGACACAATGGATTTCGTGTCCCTGGCAGCAGTTTCTGCAGTGCAGAGCGTTCTTTGTGCGCAGCGCGGGAAACGTTACATTCATTCCAGCCCGACCGGTGCGTAAACAGCAACTCCGTTTTGTCCCAGCAATTGTTGTTGCGCGCACTTGTGGTGTGCTTTCTGCCTGTTGCTATTGTGAAGCATCCTTTCTACACAGCGCTATCTCAGGTTCCTGCGCAACAACGCAGCACGCATTTGTGAGCACATTAGCCTAGCAATACGCTTCTGTGTCAGGCACAACTTTTGCACGTCTTATGTGCTGTTTGTCTTCAGTGCAAGCCATCCCTGCTACGCAGCGAAAGATTATGCACAAGAGTGTGGCTGGTATTTGTGCGTGCCTAGCAACATGGTTTTTGGACCCGCGACAACATGGTTTGCAGTTCTGATTTGGTGCTCCTCAATTCCTACCAAATCCCGTTCCTCTTCTTGCTCCCCGCTGCTGCTCCCCAGCTAGTTCCATTGTGAATTGATTCTGGCTTGGTTTGGGAGCTTTAGCAAGCTCAAAACATATAGTTGCAGTCGCAGTGTTTGAGCACTCTCAGTCAATTGAGTTGATACCTGCTGTTGGATTGCGAATCTGGATTGTGAAACCTCACATGTGCTTCTGAATCAATGAAACCCATGTATTTACACT